AGATAGATAGATAGATAGATAGATAGATAGATAGCTATATAGATAGATAGATAGATAGATAGATAGATAGATAGATAGATAGATAGATAGATAGATAGATAGCTAGATAGATAGATAGATAGATAGATAGATAGATAGATAGATAGATAGATAGATAGATAGATAGATAGATAGATAGATAGATAGATAGATAGATAGATAGATAGATAGATAGATAGATAGATAGATAGATAGATAGATATATAGATAAGATAGATAGATAGATAGATAGATAGATCGATAGTAGATAGATAGATAGATAGATAGATAGATAGATAGATAGATAGATAGATAGATAGATAGATAGATAGATAGATCGAATAGATAGATAGATAGATAGCTAGATAGATAGATAGATAGATAGATAGTAGATAGATAGATAGATAGCTAGATAGATAGATAGATAGATAGATAGATAGATAGATAGATAGATAGATAGATAGATAGATAGATAGCTTAGATAGATAGATAGAGATAGATAGATAGATAGATAGATAGATAGATAGATAGATAGATAGATAGATAGATAGATAGATAGATAGATAGATAGATAGATAGATAGATAGATAGATAGATAGATAGATAGATAGATAGATAGAAGATAGATAGATAGATAGATAGATAGATAGATAGAAGATAGATAGATAGATAGATAGAATAGATAGATAGATAGATAGATAGATAGATAAGATAGATAGATCGATAGATATATAGATAGATAGATAGATTAGTAAGATAGATAGATAGATAGATAGATTAGATAGATAGCTAGATAGATAGATAGATAGATAGATAGATAGATAGATAGATAGATAGATAGAATAGATAGATAGATAGATAGATAGATCGATAGATAGATAGAATATAGCTAGATAGATAGATAGATAGATAGATAGATAAGACTAGATAGATAGCTAGATAGATAGATAGAAGTAGATAGATAGATAGATAGATAGATAGATAGACGATAGATAGATAGATAGATAGATAGATAGATAGTAGATAGATAGTATAGATAGATAGATAGATAGGATAGATAGATAGAGATAGATAGATAGATAGATAGGATAGATAGTATAGATAGATAATAGATAGATAGATAGATAGATAGAATAGATAGATAGATAGATAGATAGATAGAAGATAAATAGATAGCTAGATAGATAGATAGATAGATAGGATAAGATGATTAGTAGATAGAAGATAGATAGATAGATAGATAGATAGATAGATAGATAGAAGGCTAGATAGATAGATAGATAGATAGGATAGATAGATAGATAGATAGATAGATAGATAGATAGATAGATAGATAGATAGATAGATAGATAGATAGATAGATAGATAGATAGATAGATAGATAGATAGATAGATAGATAGATAGATAGATAGATAGATAGATAGATAGATAGATAGATAGATAGCTAGATAGATAGATAGAATAGATAGATAGAAAAGACGAAGGCGTGTCCTTTAATCGGGTCTTTATTGTATGCCCAAAAACAACAACTGTAGGCACTTATTACTCTCTTATAAGGACGTTAAAACGTGAACTACAGTATCATACTTGTTAAAGGATGAAATTTCCAAAAAAAAATTGTTTATCCAAACAAATAATGACTAATTGTTTCGAATAACTAATAAATACTCTATTAATAATTAATAAAATAAATTTAATTAAACATGTATAATAACAATTGACAGAAATAAATTATCAACCCACCCCCCCTCCAAATATACTAAGTATCCAAATTCCATTATGCTGACAAACCAGTTGATAAATGTCAAGTGATTTTAGCTGAAGTCCTTTCAAAGTATGGCCCTGAAAATATACCAAAGAAAATACAATCAACAAAATGAATTGGAATCGAATGTCAGAGATAGAAATTCATTATTTAAAATTTTAAAAATACTACGTTCAATACTCCAATTATTGGGTGTAGTGCCCATAATGAGAACATCGAAAATGTTGATTCGTTTACAGCAAATTTGGTGTTCATTTCTGTTATTATTAATATGGACAATGTGTTTGCGACAGACTCAAAGTATACCCTACACTTGGACAAAAATAGAACGAGGGTTTTATCTCAGTGAATTGATTTTTAATTCAATTATACCTGTGGCCATCTATTGTATAAGTTTTGTTAATAAATCGAAATTCCTTGAAATTTTTAAAAACTTTGTCAGTTTATATGAACAATTGAAAATGTGTCGCGGTTTCGAGTTACGCCCACAAACACCGATATATCGTCAACTTAAAAAGGAAATTTTATTCTTAACATTTCTCATATTTTTCTTTTATTTATTTTGCTTTTTAATTACTATTGTACAGAATCGTGGGCTTAATCATATAGTTATGGAAGTATTTTGTGCCTTTCATTTGCCCAATATTTTGATAAATGCCAACCTGAGTCTATATTGGTTGACTTTGCGTGTTATATCGCTAATGAATTCCTATTCGAATAGTATATTGGATGATTTTAAAAAGTGTTTAACTCCATTTAATTCTTCTAATTTAAATATTTCACATCTTTCGAGTTCTTTGTGGTATCAACGAGAATTTTATACTTTCAATTTTAAAAAATCTTTAAAATACTACGATATTTTCATAACACTTACCGAGATAAGTGCTAATTTGGATCAATTAATGCGTGAAATAATTAATATATTTCGTTTTGTTTTAATACTGATGTTTGTTAATTCATTTATGATTTTGGCCATACAATATTTTTCGGTCTATAAATATTTCGATAGTCCAGATGTGCGTATGATAGTGGTATTTTTATTGAAATTTGTCCGTCTTTTACTGTATACGTTTAATATTATTTTCATTTTATGGTCGAATAATTGCGTTATTAATGAGGTAAGCAGAAAGGGGTAAAGATTTTTAATAAGTCAATTTCTGAATAATTTTCTAAATTCAATCTTTTTAGAAATGCCGTACCATCTATATTCTTAATAGTTTGCCCATTGAAACTTTAGATATGGAACGGAATGTAAGCGCTTATCTATTACAGTTAATGGTTCGCAAACATACAGTATCGGTTTGTGACATATTTGAATTGGATTTGACATTTCTACTTTCGGTAAGTATGACTATACTTATACTAAATTTATTACCTATATAAAAGATGTAGATTTACAATAAATTATTATATAGTCCTTAATATTGATCAGTCCTGACTACTTATTACTCTATGGTCTTTATATGTATAGCTATAGATAAATTCATGACTATAGAAAAATCTATATTCATGACTACAGATATAGTCTTGACTGGATACAGTCTTGATTCTTTAATAGTCTGGACTATAGATAAATCTATATTCATGACTACAGATATAATCATGACTGGATATAGTCCTGATATAGATTGGTCTATAGTCTGGACTATAGATTGGTCTATAGTCTGGACTATATATAAATCTATAGTATATCTAAACTATAGAATAGATTAGTCTATAGACTGGACTTTGGATTAGTTTACAGTTTGGACTATAGATTGGTCTATAGTCTGGTATATAGATTGGTGTATATTCTGGACTATAGATTGGTGTATAGTCTGGACTATAGATTGGTGTATAGTCTAGACTATAGATTGGTCTATAGTCTGGACTATAGATTGGTCAATAGTCTGGACTAAAGATTGGTATATAGTCTGGTCTATAAACCAGATTATAGGTCTATAGTCTATACTATAGATTGGTCTGTAATCTAGATTATAAATTGTTCTATAATCTAGACTATAGATTGGCCTATAGTCTGCACTATAGATTAGTCTATAGTCAGGGCTATAGAATGGTCTATAGTCTAGACTATAGATTGGTCTATAGATTAGTCTATAGTATTGACTATAAATTCTATAGAATTTATAGTCAAGAACTATAAAATGGCCTATAGTATGGACTATAGATTGGTCTATAGTCTGGACTATAGATTGGTCTGCAGTCTGGACTATAGATTGGTCTATAGTCTGAACTATAGATTGGTCTATAGTCTTCACTATAGATTAGTCTATAGCCTTCACTATAGATTACTCTATAGCCTTGTCTAAAGATTAGTCTATAGCCTGGACTATAGAATAGTCTATTGTCTTGACTATAGATTAGTCTATAGTCTTGACTAGATTCGTCTGAGTCTTGACTATAAATTAGTTTATTGTCTTGACTATAGATTAGTCCATAGTCTTGACTATATATTAGTCTATAGTGTTGACTATAGATTAGTCTATAGACTTGACTATAAATTAGTCTATATTCTTGACTATAGATTAGTCTATAGTCTTGACTATAGATTAGTCTATAGTCTTGACTATAAATTAGTCTATAGTCTTGACTATAGATTAGTCTATAGTCTTGACTATAGATTAGTCTATAGTCTTCACTATAGATTAGTCTATAGTCCTGACTATAGATTAGTCTATGGTCTTGACTATAGATTAGTCTATAGTATTGACTATAGATTAGTCTATAGTCTTGACTATAAATTAGTCTATAGTCTTGACTATAGATTAGTCTATAGTCTTGACTATAGATTAGTCTATAGTCTTGACTATAGATTAGTCTATAGTCTTGACTATAGATTAGTCTATAGTCTTGACTATAGATTAGTCTATAGTCTTGACTATAGATTAGTCTATAGTCTTGACTATAGATTAGCGTAGAGTTTTGAATGTAGACTAGTACATGGTCTTGACTATAGATTGGACTATTGTCTTGACTATAGATTAGCCTATAGACTGGATTATAGATTAATCTATATTCTGGACTAAAGGTTGGTCTATATTCTGGACTATGGATTGGTCTATAGTCTTGACTACAGATAAGTATATAGCCTTGATTATAGATTAGTCCATAGTCTTGACTACAGATTAGTCCATAATATTGACTGTAGATTAGTCTATAGTCTTTACTATAGATTAGTCTATAGTCTTGACTATTTATCAGTCTTTATTCGTGCCAATAAATTTAGTTCCTGTTTTTAAATGCTGAAAGATCCGAATTACCAATATTTACCAAATTTCCCTTTTAATTTATTTTTTTTTTAGATTATCAGCGCCTTAGCAAACTATGTAATATTTCTTATACAGATTGACCTGGGAGCCGTTTCGATTGAAGAAGCAACGGCTACTAATAGAATTTAAACAAACTAACTGCAGTAAACCATTCCACCACCATTCAGTTCTAGCGTGTAAAGTACAAAATCAGGAAATATATAATGTATTGTTAAGAAAGTATAAACAAATTTAATACAAATTACCAAAACAATAAAATCAATTAGTAATAGAACTGATAACTTTTAGACATACATAAATCTAAATGTATATTCTTTTATTTCAATTTATCGCCAATAGAAATCTAATAAAAGGATTGAGTAAAATTTGTTCAGGTGAAAAGAAAAATCTGTTTCAAATATTAGTTCAAAACTGGACTTTCTAACGAAATGTTTAACTTACGCAAATCATTAAAAGTGATTTTTGAAACATTAGTAAAAGTTTTTAAATTAATTTTTCACTTGGTGAAAATATCTTGTAACTCTTTTGCGTTTTCTGTAAAATCGTCCTTGCGTTTTTTGTACCAAAGGGCTACAGGTTTTCTTAGGAATGTGGGCGATGAGACTGGCATTTTGGCCTTAAAATTGATGTTTAATCGGAATTTACATATCATCGAAAGGTAAGATTATTTTAAGGAAAATTAAGCAATTTTAAATCCGTTTTACGATTTCTTCAGAATTTTCTGGTTCCTAACATTCGTTGTGGCCATTTATGGGGCTCTTTTCATAACGAAATCTCAAATTATACGGCATTTAAAATCGCCTACAGTTATATCAGTCGATCGTAATTATCGTGATTGGGTGGGTTATATGCCGGCTATAACTCTGTGCTATTACGATCATATCGATTCATATAAGGCCAATGAATATATATTGGAAAATTGGAATGTTTCCATTGTCGATGAGGAATATTTTTATTTTATGGACTTTTTATATGCTGTAGTCAATGCTAGTGCTACCAATTATGCTGATTTGGCTAAATTTTCTGAAGACGAACGATTTGATGATGTGGATTTGTATGATATTATCACAGCTATTGATAAACCTTTTGAACAGATTATAAATACATTTGAGGGAAATTTTGAAATATCCGTAACAACCGCCATGACGGAAAGAGGTTCGTGTTATATTATCAATTCAGCTATAGGTGAGGTATTGGGAGCAAGGTAAGTCTGAAGTCCACTATTTTCCTTTGAAGATATTTAATAGATTTTCATTTATGTTTTAGTTTTAAATTTAGTTTTCAAGGTTTTGATGATTTAAAGAAACCTTTAAAATGTAAGTTTGGTAAACAGCAGTGTTTTATTAAAATTGATCTGCTGGAAAGTACAGGAGTGGTGAGTTTATTTATATAGAACTTAAATTTTAAATAAAAAATTTGTTATAAATATCATTGATTTTTTAGATAGATGTTCATTCACCTTTCGAGATATCTTCAACGGATTCCAGTTTTATAGCTTTACAGAAATCGGATGAAATTATTGCTTCTTATAAAGTCGTAGAAACGATGTAAGTAAATAAGGATATCTAGTCTAGTCTATAGTCTAGTCTATAGTCTAGTCAATAGTCTTGTCTATAGTCTAGTCTATAGTCTAGTCTATAGTCTAGTCTATAGTCTAGTCTATAGTCTAGTCTATAGTCTAGTCTATAGTCTAGTCTATAGTCTATTCTATAGTCTAGTCTATAGTCTAATCTATAGTCTAGTCTATAGTCTGGTCTATAGTCTAGTCTATAGTCTAGTGTATAGTCTAGTCTATAGTCTAGTCTATAGTCTAGTCTATAGTCTAGTCTATAGTCTAGTCTATAGTCTAGTCTATAGTCTAGTCTATAGTCTAGTCTATAATCTAGTCTATAGTCTAGTCTATAGTCTAGTCTATAGTCTAGTCTATAGTCTAGTCTATAGTCTAGTCTATAGTCTAGTCTATAGTCTAGTCAATAGTCTAGTCTATAGTCTAGTCTATAGTCTAGTCTATAGTCTAGTCCATAGTCTAGTCTACAGTCTAGTCTATAGTCTAGTCTATAGTCTAGTCTATAGTCTAGTCTATAGTCTAGTCTATGGTCTAGTCTATAGTCTAGTCTATAGTCTAGTCTTTAGTCTAGTCTATAGTCTAGTCTATAGTCTAGTCTATAGTCTAGTCTATAGTCAAGTCTATAGTCTAGTCTATAGTCTAGTCTTTAGTCTAGTCTTTAGTCTAGTCTATAGTCTAGTCTTTAGTCTAGTCTATAGTCAAGTCTAGTCTATAATCCAGTCTATAGTCTAGTCTATAGTCTAGTCTATAGTCTTGTCTATAGTCTAGTCTATAGTCTAGTCATAGCTTAATAATTATTTACTTTTATACTTTTTAGAGAAACCCCCAATTTGCGAGATCTCAGCTTTGAACAGAGAAAGTGTGTTTTCAATGATGAAGAAACTTCCGAATTAAGGGTTTGGGACCATTAATTTTAAGAACAAAAAAATATATATTAAAAATTTTACAATTTTAGATTTACAGCAAAACTTTATGTTTGGCAAAATGTCGAGCTATGATGGCCATGGAAATGTGTGATTGTGTGCCCTTCTTTTATACATTTGTTGGTGAGTCGAGGGTCCAATAAATAAAGTTAAAATAAAAATTTCAATAATTTCTGAAATGTAACTTTATTACTACAGATCAAAAGTCTTGTAATCCTGCTGGTTTCGAATGTCTTCTCGATTTTAAATGGCCCGTTTGGGCATTGCATATTTGCAAATGTCCGAATACTTGTATTGAAATGGAGTATACCTTGCAGACGGTTAAGAAAAGTTCTTGGGGCGTAAGTAATTTAGATGATTCTGGTAAATCGGATGTTGTTACTTCAAGCTTTCGTTGGGACTTAATACCGCCTAAAGTGCGTTTTCGTCGTGATGTAGTGTTTAGTTTTGAAGACTTATTGGGTAAGTTGCAATTTGAATATTTGCTTAATGTGTCTTTAAATCCGGGAATTTAATGAATATCTTTTATTGTCTTTCATATAGTATCATTTGGCGGTACTTTGGCTTTATTTCTCGGCTTTAGTATTTTATCGCTCATCCATTTTATTTATGCATTGGTTAAACGAGTTTTTGAAGATTTTTACGATTTGTTGCGTTTGATTTTTGGGGTTTGTCATAGATTGTGGCAAAATTATATGAATCACCGAAGGATTAAGAAAGGTGTCGTCTTGGTAAAAGAGATGAGAACGACTCAAGAAGTATCATTTTTAAAGAAAATAAAAGAGAGACGTGAAAAATTTTTGAAAATGCGTTTCAAGTCATCAGAAGATGTAATCGATTTGGAGAATAATGCTGGTGATCTGGATTTGCTAGAGGACAACCATGATAGTTCTTTATTTGAATTTGTTAATTGAAAAGGAATGAATTGACGTGAATAAAATATGTTGGTGAAAGCAATATAATTTTTAACATTTGTATTAGTTTATAAAAATATTGATACTTAGTATATCACTCAATAGTCTGGACTTTAGATTAGTCTATTGACTTGACCATAGACCAGTTTATAGTCTTAACTGTAGATCATTCTGTATTATTGACTATAGTATGGATTATAGATCTGTCTATATAGATAGCTCTAAAGTATTGACTATATATTACTGACCATAGATCAGCCTATAGTCTTGACTATAGATTATAGACTAATCTATAGTCTTGATTATAGATCAGTCTATAGTCTTGACTATAGATTAGTTTATAGTCTTGACTATAGATAAGTCGACAGTTTTCACTATAGGTCAGTATGTAGTCTTGACTATAGATCAGTCTATAGTCTTGACTATAGATCAGTCTATAGTCTTGACTATAGATCAGTCTATAGTCTTGACTATAGATCAGTCTGTAGTCTTGTCTATAGATCAGTCTGTAGTCTTGACTACAACTATAGATCAGTCTTGACTATAGATTAGTATATAGTCTTGACTATAGATCAGTCTATAGTCTTCACTATAGATCAGTTTATAGTCTTGACTATGGATCAGTCTATAGTATTGACTATTGTCTATCTATAGTCTTGACTATAGATCAGTCTATAGTCTTGCCTATAGATTAGTCTATAGCCTTGACTATAGGTCAGTTTATAGTCTTGACTATAGATCAGTCTATATAGATAGCTCTAAAGTATTGACTATATATTACTGACCAGCCTATAGTCTTGATTATAGATTATAGACTAAGTTTATTGTCTTCACTATAGATCAGTCTATAGTCTTGACTGTAGATGAGTCTATAGTCTTGACTGTAGATGAGTCTATAGTCTTGACTATAGATAAGTCTATAGTCTTGACTATAGATCAGTCTATATAGATAGCTCTAAACTATTGACTATATATTACTCACCATAGATCAGCCTATAGTCTTGACTATAGATTATAGACTAATCTATAGTCTTGATTATAGATCAGTCTATAGTCTTGACTATAGATTAGTTTATAGTCTTGACTATAGATAAGTCGACAGTTTTCACTACAGGTCAGTATGTAGTCTTGACTATAGATCAGTCTATAGTCTTGACTATAGATCAGTCTATAGTCTTGACTATAGATCAGTCTGTAGTCTTGTCTATAGATCAGTCTGTAGTCTTGACTACAACTATAGATCAGTCTTGACTATAGATTAGTATATAGTCTTGACTATAGATCAGTCTGTCGTCTTCACTATAGATCAGTTTATAGTCTTGACTATGGATCAGTCTATAGTATTGACTATTGTCTATCTATAGTCTTGACTATAGATCAGTCTATAGTCTTGCCTATAGATTAGTCTATAGCCTTGACTATAGATCAGTCTATATAGATAGCTCTAAAGTATTGACTATATATTACTGACCAGCCTATAGTCTTGATTATAGATTATAGACTAAGTTTATAGTCTTCACTATAGATCAGTCTATAGTCTTGACTATAGATGAGTCTATAGTCTTGACTATAGATAAGTTTATAGTCTTGACTATAGATCAGTCTATATAGAGAGCTCTAAACTATTGACTATATATTACTCACCATAGATCAGCCTATAGTCTTGACTATAGATTATAGACTAATCTATAGTCTTGATTATAGATCAGTCTATAGTCTTGACAATAGATTAGGTTATAGTCTTGACTGTAGATTACTTTAAAGTCTTAACTATAGATTAGTCGACAGTGTTGACTATAGATCAGTATATAGTCTTGACTATAGATCGGTCTATTGTCTTGACTATAGATCAGTTTGTAGTCTTGACTATAACTATAGATCAGTCTTGACTATAGATTAGTATATAGTCTTGACTATGGATATGTCTATAGTCTTGACTATGGATCTGTCTATAGTCTTGACTATAGATCAGTCTATAGTGTTGACTATAGATTAGCCTATAGTCTTGGCTATAGATCAGTATATAGTCTTGACTATAGATCAGTATATAGTCTTGACTATAGATTAGTCTATAGTTTTGACTATAGATCAGTCTATAGCCTTGACCATAGATCAGTGTATAGTCTTGACTATAGATCAGTCTATATTCTTGACTATAGTTTAGTCTTTTCTCTTGACTATAAATGATCAGTCTATGGTCTAGTATTTATAATTGGTTTAAGAAAAGTTGGAAAAAAAACTTTTAGAGGCAGTAATTAATCCCCCACCTAGTTCTACTATTGGACAACCCAGTTTTTCCCCCAACTTAAACATACATTAGTTTAACAGTTGCATATTTTATTCAAACCTTTGTGGTTAATTCAAATTGTTAACTTGTTTAGTTAGTTAATATCATCGTAACGAAAAGGTTCTCTATCTTCTTACCTCAAAACAAACGACAAAAACAGAAAGTCTAGTGTTAGATAGACAACAACTAATTACACATAGTGTGAACTAGATTCACATAAATTGCATTTTTCAAAAAGTACAAAAAAAACTTCAAAATTTAAATAAATTAAGTAAAAATTCAACAACAAAAAAAGTGAAACAAATATGATAAATAATTGTATATTTGCTTAAGTTAACATTGTAGTCAAAAGATTTAAACGAGATTGATAAGATCATAATTGTATATATTGTATACCTATACAAAGTTAGAAGTTAGTCCATCTTGAAAAAAAAGATAACAAGTGATAAGATTATACAAATTATATATACAAGATAAATATCTTGTAGTTTGTGATGTAAAGTTCTCATGAATGGTGTAGATCGGTTAACGCACGTGTTAAATATTATTTTCGATTGAAGTTTTTGAAAATCTTAAAATTTGAAAAAATATAAAACATATATTTCAAAACCTATTATGGAGAAAACTTTTGCTCCCGGTTTATGTTTGGAATGGAAACATCTTAATTATTATGTACCAGCGAAAGAGCAGACAAATTATAGTTTTTGGCAATCGTGTCAAAAGCAAACGGAATTACAATTATTAAATGATGGTAAGATATGGAAATTTTAAAATACTTAAGAGACCTTTACAAAATCCATATATTTTAAATATCATTAGCAACACAGTAACTTCATTATTGCTAATCTAAATTAGACCAAAGTATTTTGTTGGTATAATTTATTGGGCAATATTTATTTACTACATTTAGTCTGTTGGATGCACTAATATGATTTCTTTGTTGACACTAAAATTTTCAGTCAAAAGTACCACCTGTGGCACTGTACCGCATTAAATATATGACGATTATAGAATTTATTTTGTTTTTTGCTTCATAAACATGGTATGGGATCTTTTGCAATTTTATGATACAGACGATATATATTTGCCTTTGTTGTGAAAATATGACAAAGTGCAAAGATTACCCAGTTAAAAAATAAAAACAAATTTCAAAAACAAAGGAATCGTAATCCATATAGAATTATTTTTTCTAAAATGATATGAAAGTTAAACAAATTCTAAAACATTACCGGTAATTTCTAGATATCTAATAGAGAATAACTCAGAGAGTATATAATTATATCAATAGTACAACTTTTTTGAATTCTCAGTTTTGATAGAACAAACTCTGAGTTTTATTACACAGCCCATAATGATGATTTAGTGATATCTGGATCGGTAAGAAATCCAGCACTATATGTATAACATCATTCCACGATCTTTGAATTAAACTTTTCCGTTTCCAGGAAAATATATTAACGATTTAAAATGATGTTTTTAGTACAAACTATGGAGTGGGTGGGACTTTCATATTAGATATATCGGAAGATCATGTTATCAATCGGTTCCATGACATATTCATCTGTGAAACATTCCGAATTAAAATTGCACTGATTTAAATTAACAAATACAAATGTGAAAAAAGTATTGCAGATTAAAGACGGTATCTTAACTAGGTATCTCAAATAGGGGTCGTATAAATTAATTGCGTTGATGTGGATACATGTCGAGCAACTTAACCCTCTACATCATTGACTTCTCTAGAAGTTAGAAGTAATCTATAATTTGGCATATAGTCTATAGTCCAGACTATAGACAAGTATATTGTCGAGACCCTAGTCCTGACTATAGTTCAGACTACAAAGGTTATAGACTAGGCTAAAGTCCAGACTACACTATATACTATAGTCAAGGCTATATTCTACACTATAGTCCTGACAGTAGGCTAGACAGGCAGTGTACCCTATAGTTCAGAATATAGACCAGACTAAAGACCAGGCTATAGTCCAGACTATAGACTAGACTGTATTCCAGAATATATACTAGACTATAGTCCAGACTATAGAGTAGGCTGTAGTGTAGACTATAGACTAGACTGTAGTCTACATTATAGAATAGACCATAGTCCAGACTACAGATTGGATCATAGACCATAGCCTGGACTATAGTCAAGACTACTAGACTATAGCACAGACTATAGACTAGACGATAGTCCAGACAATAGACTATACTATACACTAATGCCCAGCTTTTGACTAGACTATAGACTAAACTATATTATAGACTATACTATAGTCCAGACTTTAGCCCAAACAATAGACTTAATTATAGTCAAGACAATAGTCCAGACTATAGACCAGACTTTAGACCAGACTATAGTCCAGACTATAGACCAGACTATAGACCAGACTATAGTCCAGACTATAGTCCAAACTATAGTCCAGACTATAGTCCAGACTATAGTCCAAACCATAGACCAGAGTATAATCCAGACTATAGACCAGACTATAGTCCAGACTATAGTCCAGACTGTAGCCAGACTATAGTCCAGACTACAGAACAGACTATAGTCCACACTATAGACCAGACTATAGTGCAGACTATAATCCACACTATAGACCAGACTATAATCCAGACTATAGACCAGACTATAATCCGGACTATAGACCAGACTATAGTGCAGACTGTAGACCAGGCTATAGTCCAGACTATAGTCCAGACTATAATCCAAACTATAGACCAGACTATAATCCACCTTATAGACGAGATTATAATCCAGACTATAGACCAGACAATAGTCCAGACTATAGACCGGACTATAGTCCAGACTATAGACCAGACTATGGTCCAGACTATAAACCAGACTGTAGTCCAGACTATAGACCAGACTATGGTCCAGACTATAGGCCAGACTATAGACCTGACTATAGTCCAGACTATAGTCCAGACTATAGACCAGACTATAGACCAGACTATAATCCAGACTATGGACCAAACAATAATCCAGACTATAGACCAGACTATAATCCAGACTATAGACCAGACTTTAACTAGACTATAGACCGGAGTATAGTCCTGACTATAGACCGGAGTATAGTCCTGACTATAGACCGGACTATAGTCCAGACTATAGACCAGACTATAGACCAGACTATAATCCACCTTATAGACGAGACTATAATCCAGACTATAGACCAGACAATAATCCAGACTATAGACCAGACAATAGTCCAGACTATAGACCAGACTATAGTCCAGACTATAGACCAGACTATGGTCCAGACTATAAACCAGACTGCAGTCCAGACTGCAGTCCAGACTATAGACCAGACTATGGTCCAGACTATAGGCCAGACTATAGTCCAGACTATAGACCAGACTTTAGACCAGACTATAGTCCAGACTATAGACCAGACTATAGACCAGACTATAATCCAGACCATGGACCAAACAATAATCCAGACTATAGACCAGACTATAATCCAGACTATAGACCAGACTATAGTCCAGACTATAGACCGGAGTATAGTCCTGACTATAGACCGGACTATAGTCCAGACTATAGACCAGACTATAGTCCAGACTACAAACCAGACTATAGTCCAGACTACAGACCATATTATAGGCCAGACTATAGACCAGACTTTATCCAGACTGTAGACTTAACTATAGTCCAGATTATAGACTAGACCATAGTCCAGACAATAGACTGGATCATATATATATAGCCTAGACGAAAGTCCGGACTATAGACTAGACTCTGGCCTACACTAAAGTCCGGACTATAGACTAGACTTTAGTCCAGACTATAGACTAGAATATAGTCGAGACTATAGACTAGGCTATAGTCCAGACTATAGACTAGTCTATAGTCAAGACGATAGGCTAGACTATAGTTCGGACTATTGACTAGATTGTAGTCTACACTATAGTCCAGACTATAGACTACACTATATAGTCCACACTTCTTGGTATTTAAATGGGTAATACCGTACCACGTTTTATCTGTTAAGTAATAATTGCAAATTAATAAGATTCCATATAACACAAAACCTTTTAAGAGGAAAATCTTGTATTCCTAAATTTGATCCAATAGTTGATATAACCGATTAAGTTCAGAGGACATTGTGTCTGATAAGTGTTCAAACAGCCCAGATTTTATTTTAAATTGTAGTTATCTTTTTTCCGAATTCTTAACATAGGTATGGATCCAATGTAAGAGTAATTGGCATATTTTTTTCCAAAAATTATTACTCGATGTAGAAAAGTATAAATTTTGTAAAGTATTTATTACAAACGACACATGTAACTTGTCAAATATGTTACAATTATACAACTACAATTTACATAATTTCCGTAGTTTTTGTTTTAATAATCCCACATTAAAATTATTTTCATATCAATGTTATTTAAGTATTTATTATTAATAATATTATTGGATTTAATATTATTATATTAACAGCATTTAAATAATGTTTTCAATTGACCTTTGTGGTTAAATTAAACATAATTGTTTAATCTTGCCTTACATCTTTCACTGACTCCAATGACTGACTGATTGTTTGGCGGATTGGTTGACTAAACGTCTGGTCCGCGCGATTTTTATATTGTTGCTATACATATGTATGTGTATTTGCAGTGAGCGGTCATATGAAAACTGGAGATCTGGTGGCAATATTGGGATGTAGTGGCGCCGGTAAAACCACACTGCTAGCAGCAATATCACAACGTTTACGCGGTAATTTAAGCGGTGAGATCGTTGTAAATGGTGTTGCGACGGAGCGAGCAGACATGATACGCATCTCGAGTTTTTTGCCACAATTTGAAATCAATGTACAAACATTCACTGCCTACGAACATTTATATTTTATGGTAAGTGCACTGAAAGAATTTTGTAAAATGAGTATGGATATATATCTCTAACACATGTAAATTCTTTTTGTAAAATTAGTACAGTGTAGAATTTACCAGGAAATATTATGATAAATTTATTAATTTCTTTTTTCCACTTTAAGTCCCATTTTAAAATGCATCGCAAAACAACAAAATCTCAAAAACATCAAAGGGTTAATGATCTGCTTTTGGCGGTGGGTCTAAGAAATGTGGCCCATACACGTATACAACAGTTGTCGGGTGGTGAACGTAAAAGGCTCAGCTTAGCCGAAGAGGTTAATATAACAGTTTCTTAAATGAATATTTTTATTATAAATTATGTTTTTAATCTCTTTAACAGCTAATTACCGATCCCCCATTTATATTTTGTGATGAACCCACCACTGGCCTAGACAGTTATAATGCCTATACTGTAGTCAAAACCCTTAGACATCTTTGCACCCGACATCGTGTTATGGCTCCTTCGCTAACGGCTTTATATGGTGAAGATTCTTATAGCTCGCCCAGTGATAGCAGTAGTTCTCATAGCAGTCCTCATAGTTCCATAGAAATGGAGGCTTTTGATTCTGATTTACCTAGTCTTAAGGCTTTAAATAATAGTCCTAATGGTCGTTATAAGAAAGCTATTATCTGTTCTATACATCAACCGACTTCAGATATATTTGAGCTATTTACGCATATTATTTTAATGGATGCTGGACGTATTATTTATCAGGGTCGCACCGAAGAGGCTTTGGAGTTTTTTACCAGGTTTGCTTGTCGAATTTTAGAACCTTTGAAGTGATTTTTATTTAAATTTTATTTCAGATTAAACTATGTTATTCCTAAAAATTGTAATCCAGCTGATTTTTATTTAAAAACTATCTCAGACAGTCATACGAATCGTAATGATGGTCAATTAATTAAAGCCAAATATAGCCTACAAACATCGGGTCTTTATAGCAATAGTTGGCTGCTGCCGAAACCTTATAGTGGAGAGTATTTGACGAATATGAAAAATTTGTAAGTTTTGAAAGATTTTGAATCTAAAATCTATAAAAAAGTTTGTAATCCAGCAGTGTGGACTATAGAGTAATCTAGTAGTTCGGACTATAGAATAGACTATAGAGTAGACTATAGTCTGGACTATAGAGTAGACTATAGTCTGGACTATAGAGTAGACTATAGTCTGGACTATAGAGTAGACTATAGTCTGGACTATAGAGTAGACTATAGTCTGGACTATAGAGTAGACTATAGTCTGGACTATAGAGTAGACTATAGTCTGGACACTAGAGTAGACTATAGTCTGGACACTAGAGTAGACTATAGTCTGGACACTAGAGTAGACTATAGTCTGGACTGTAGAGTAGACTATAGTCAGGACTGTAGAGTAGACTATAGTCTGGACTGTAGAGTAGACTATAGTCTGGACTGTAGAGTAGACTATAGTCTGGACTATAGAGTAGACTATAGTCTTGACTATAGAGTAGACTATAGTCTGGACTATAGAGAAGACTATAGTCTTGACTATAGAGTAGACTATAGTCTTGACTATAGAGTAGACTATAGTCTGGACTATAGAGTAGACTATAGTCTGGACTATAGAGTAGACTATAGTCTGGACTATAGAGTAGACTATAGTCTGGACTATAGAGAAGCCTATAGTCTGGACTATAGAGAAGCCTATAGTCTGGACTATAGAGTAGACTATAGTCTAGACTATAGAGTAGACTATAGTCTGGACTATAGAGTAGACTAAAGTCTGGACTATAGAGTAGACTATAGTCTGGACTATAGAGTAGACTATAGTCTGGACTATAGAGTAGACTATAGTCTGGACTATAGAGTAGACTATAGTCTGGACTATAGAGTAGACTATAGTCTGGACTATAGAGTAGACTATAGTCTGGACTATAGAGTAGACTATAGTCTGGACTATAGAGTAGAATATAGTCTGGACTATAGAGTAGACTATAGTCTGGACTATAGAGTAGACTATAGTCTGGACTATAGAGTAGACTATAGTCTGGACTATAGAGTAGACTATAGTCTGGACTATAGAGTAGACTATAGTCTGGAATATAGAGTAGACTATAGTCTGGACTATAGAGTAGACTATAGTCTGGACTATAGAGTAGACTATAGTCTGGACTATAGAGTAGACTATAGCCTGGACTATAGAGTAGACTATAGTCTGGACTATAGAGTAGACTATAGTCTGGACTATAGAGTAGACTATAGTCTGGACTATAGAGTAGACTATAGTCTGGACTATAGAGTAGACTATAGTCTGGACTATAGAGTAGACTATAGTCTGGACTATAGAGTAGACTATAGTCTGGACTATAGAGTAGACTATAGTCTGGACTATAGAGTAGACTATAGTCTGGACTATAGAGTAGACTATAGTCTGGACTATAGAGTAGACTATAGTCTGGACTATAGAGTAGACTATAGTCTGGACTATAGAGTAGACTATAGTCTGGACTATAGAGTAGACTATAGTCTGGACTATAGAGTAGACTATAGTCTGGACTATAGATTAGAATATAGTCTGGACTATAGAGTAGACTATAGTCTGGACTATAGAGTAGACTATAGTCTGGACTATAGAGTAGAATATAGTCTGGACTATAGAGTAGACTATAGTCTGGACTATAGAGTAGACTATAGTCTGGACTATATAGTAGTCTATAGTCTGGACTATAGAGTAGACTATAGTCTGGACACCAGAGTAGACTATAGTCTGGACACTAGAGTAGACTATAGTCTGGACACTAGAGTAGACTATAGTCTGGACACTAGAGTAGACTATAGTCTGCACTGTAGAGTAGACTATAGTCTGGACTGTAGAGTAGACTATAGTCTGGACTGTAGAGTAGACTATAGTCTGGACTGTAGAGTAGACTATAGTCTGGACTGTAGAGTAGACTATAGTCTGGACACTAGAGTAGACTATAGTCTGGACTGTAGAGTAGACTATAGTCTGGACTATAGAGTAGACTATAGTCTGGACTATAGAGTAGACTATAGTCTGGACTGTAGAGTAGACTATAGTCTGGACTGTAGAGTAGACTATAGTCTGGACTGTAGAGTAGACTATAGTCTGGACTATAGAGTAGACTATAGTCTGGACTATAGAGTAGACTATAGTCTGGACTATAGAGTAGACTATAGTCTGGACTATAGAGAAGACTATAGTCTGGACTATAGAGTAGCCTATAGTCTGGACTATAGAGTAGACTATAGTCTGGACTATAGAGTAGACTATAGTCTGGACTATAGAGTAGACTATAGTCTGGACTATAGAGTAGACTATAGTCTGGACTATAGAGTAGACTATAGTCTGGACTATAGAGTAGACTATAGTCTGGACTATAGAGTAATCTAGTAGTCCGGACTATAGAGTAGACTATAGTCTGGACTATAGAGTAGACTATAGTCTGGACTATAGAGTAGACTATAGTCTGGACTATAGAGTAGACTATAGTCTGTACTATAGAGTAGACTATAGTCTGGACTGTAGAGTAGACTACAGTCTGGACTTTAGAGTAGACTATAGTCTGGACTATAGTCTGGACTACTGAGTAGGCTATAGAGTATACAATAGTCTGAACTATCGTGTAAATAATATTCTGGCCTAAAGAGTACACTATAGTTTGGTTCATAGAGTAGACTATGGTCTGGACTATGGAGTAGATTATGATCTGGACTATAGTCTGTAATATATAGTAAACTATTGTCTGGATTGTGGAGTATACTATAGAGTATACTATTATCTGTGCTATAGAGTAGACTATAGTATGGGCTATCGGTTAGAATAAATTCTTTCTTACTTCTATAACAATAATATGAATTTCTTTTTAGTAAAAAAATTTGGTGGCCTTTTCAAGTGTATTTACTGCTCAAGAGATTTGTAACCGATGATAGTCGCAATCTGAAACAGGGTGTTTTATCCATGGGTTTCTTTATGGTAATCATTCTTTAAAAAAACTTAAAATAAACATTATTATATAAAAACCTATTCTTTCACATTTTCAGATAACTTCCCTAACACTAGCTATTATGTATTCCGGGGTACAAGGACTCACACAAACTTCTATACAAGATATTGGCGGGTCCATCTTTATGTTGAGCACAGAAATGATTTTTACATTTTCCTATGGTGTTACCTATGTATTTCCTTCAGCTTTACCGATTATGCGTCGTGAGGTGGGAGAGGGCACCTATAGTTTATCGGCTTATTATGTGGCCGTGGTACTATCCTTTATACCCATGGCCTTTTTCAAAAGTTATATATTTTTTGGTGTGGTCTATAGTTCCATTTATTTGGATCGTGGTTTTATGCTGTTTTTATCAATGGGTTTAGTTTTGGCTTTATCGGCTGTGGCGGCCACTGGATATGGTTTATTTTTATCCACTATATTTGAAACGGAAAAGATGGCTTCAGAATGTGCAGCACCATTTGATTTGTTATTTTTAATATTTGGTGGTGCCTACTATAATGTGGACTCAATACCATTTTTAAAGTATTTTTCGCTATTCTTTTACTCTAATGAGGCGTTAATGTATAATTTTTGGATAAATGTGGATAAAATAGGTAAGTTAGTGATTTCAAATACGAATATATGTATGTATGTATGTGTGTATGAATATCTAATTTTAATTCTTTTCAAAGACTGCCCCCAAAATGAGGCTCATCCCTGCATAAAAAATGGCTATGAGGTACTGGTACGTGGCTCATTTCGCATTGGCGATGACACTTATTGGACCGATTGTTTGGGTTTAGTATTTGTTGCTTTAGTTTTTAATATAATTGCATATTTTTTTGTTCGTAAATATGTCAAGCGTAGTGGTTATTATTAAAGTCATTTTTATATAGTGTTCATTTTTATATCAACTCAATATTGTTTTCATATCATAAACCGCACATTTTTATTTTTTATGCAAAACTTTATGAATATAAATAAATATTATTTTTAATCATTTATAAAGAATAAACATATTTTATGAGATTTTAGTTAGGGTAGACCATAGACTACTCATTACAGTACAGGACTACATAGTAGATAATAGTCTGAACTATAGATTCGACTAGCTTGACTTGACTGTAGTCCGGAATAGAGAATAGAATATAGTCTAAACTATAGGGTAAACTTTAGTCTTGATTATAGAGTAGACTATAGTCTGGATTTTAGAGTACATTGTAGTCTGGACCACACTAAACTATAGGCAGGATTATAGAGTAGACTATAGTATGGATTAGAGAGTAGACTTTAGAGTGGACTATACAGTAGACTTTAGACCGAACTATAGAATAGACTATGGAGTACGCTATAGTCTGGATTATGGAGTAGACTATAGTGTGAAATATAGAGAAGACTTTAAACTGGACTTTAAAATGAACTATAGTCTGGACAATAGAGTAGACTATAGTCTGGATTATGGACTAGACTATAGTGTGGACTATAGAGTAGACTATAGTCTGGACTATAGAGTAGACTCTAGTCTAGACTATAAAGTACACTATAAACTGGACAATAGAGTAGACTTTAGACTAGACTATAGAGTAGACTATAGTCTGGTCAATAGAGTAGACTATAGTCTGGTCTATAGAGTAGACTGTAGTCTGGTCCATAGAGTAGACTGTAGTCTGGTCCATAGAGTAGACTGTAGTCTGGTCCATAGAGTAGACTGTAGTCTGGTCCATAGAGTAGACTGTAGTCTGGTCCATAGAGTAGACTGTAGTCTGGTCCATAGAGTAGACTGTAGTCTGGTCCATAGAGTAGACTGTAGTCTGGTCCATAGAGTAGACTGTAGTCTGGTCCATAGAGTAGACTGTAGTCTGGTCCATAGAGTAGACTGTAGTCTGGTCCATAGAGTAGACTGTAGTCTGGTCCATAGAGTAGACTGTAGTCTGGTCCATAGAGTAGACTGTAGTATGGACTATAGAGTAGACTGTAGTCTGGACTATAGTGTAGACTGTAGAGTACAATATAGTAGACTAAAGTCTAAACCATAGTCTGGACTATAGAGTAGACTGTAGTCTAGACTATAAAGTACACTATAAACTGGACAATAGAGTAGACTTTAGACTAGACTATAGAGTAGACTATAGTCTGGTCTATAGAGTAGACTATAGTCTGGTCCATAGAGTAGACTGTAGTCTGGTCCATAGAGTAGACTGTAGTTTGGTCCATAGAGTAGACTGTAGTCTGGTCCATAGAGTAGACTGTAGTCTGGTCCATAGAGTAGACTGTAGTCTGGTCCATAGAGTAGACTGTAGTCTGGTCCATAGAGTAGACTGTAGTCTGGTCCATAGAGTAGACTGTAGTCTGGTCCATAGAGTAGACTGTAGTCTGGTCCATGGAGTAGACTGTAGTCTAGTCCATAGAGTAGACTGTAGTCTGGTCCATAGAGTAGACTGTAGTATGGACTATAGAGTAGACTGTAGTCTGGACTATAGTGTAGACTGTAGAGTACAATATAGTAGACTAAAGTCTAAACCATAGTCTGGACAATAGAGTTGACTGTAGTCTGGACTATAGAGTAGACTGTAGTCTGGACTATAGAGTAGACCGTAGTATGGACTATAGAGTAGACTGTAGTCTGAACTATAGAGTAGACTGTAGTCTGGACTATAGAGTAGACTGTGTTTTGGACTATAGAGTAGACTGTAGAGTACAATATAGTAGACTAAAGTCTAAACTATAGCCTGGACTATAGAGTAGACTATAGTCTGAACTATAAAGTACACTATAATCTGGACTATAGAGTAGAGTTTAGACTAGACTATAAGTAGACTATAGTCTGGTCTATAGAGTAGACTTTAGCCTGGTCTATAGAATAGACTATAATCTGGACTATAGAGTACACTATAGTCTGGACTATAGAGTAGACTATAGTCTGGACAATAGAGTAGACTAAAGTCGGTACTATAGAGTAGACTATAGTCTGGACAATAGGGTAGACTTTAGACTAGACTATAGAGTAGACTATAGTCTGATCTATAGAGTAGACTATAGTCTGAACTATAGAGTAAACTGTAGTCTGGACTATAGAGTAGACTATAGTCTGGACTATAGAGTAGACTATAGTCTGGACTATAGAGTAGACTATAGTCTGGACTATAGAGTAGACTATTGTATGAATTATAGAGTGGACTATAGTCTGGACTATAGAGTAGACTACAGTCTGGATTATAAAGTAGACTATAGTCTGGACTATTTAGTAGACTATAGTCTGGACTATAGAGTAGACTATGATACTATATAAAATACACTATAATCTGGACTATAGAGTAGAGTTTAGACTAGACTATATAGTAGACTATAGTCTGGTCTATAGAGTAGACTGTAGCCTGGTCTATAGAATAGACTATATTCTGGACTATAGAGTACACTGTAGTCTGGACTATAGAGTAGACTATAGTCTGGACTATAGAGTAGACTAAAGTCGGTACTATAGAGTAGATTATAGTCTGGACAATGGGGTAGACTTTAGACTAGACTATAGAGTAGACTATAGTCAGGTCTATAGAGTAGACTATAGTCTGAACTATAGAGTAGACTATAGTTTGGACTAGAGCGTAGATTATAGTCTGGACTGTAGAGACTATAGTCTGAACTATAGATTAAGATATGGTCTGGATTATAGAATGAACTATAGTCTGGACTATAGAATAGACTATGGTCTGGACTAAAAAATAGACTATAGTCTGGATTACAGAATAGACTATAGTCTGGACTATAGAATAGACTATAGTCTGGACTATAGAATAGACTATACTCTGGACTATAGAATAGACTATAGGTTGGACTATAGAATATACTATAGCCCGGACTATAGAATATACTATAGTCTGTATTATAGAGCTTTCCAACCTCTTCATAACATTTTAAATTTTCCAAATAAATTTATGCATTCTCAGCAACTATAAATACCTTTTAAATTCCTTTAATTCAAAAATAATTTAACACTTGATTTCTTCTTTTTAACAATTGTGTGCGATTTTGTTTTTGGAAATTCTTATTTCCATTCGAATCAAAGTTTACACATGTTTCCTTTTAATTTCTCGTACAAATCGACTTCTTCTCCATAGCCAACAACACTACCACCAACCAACTAACCAGCTCGCTTATGGAATGCAATGAATGATTGTTCACCTACATACAAGTTCGTAGTTGTTGTCAGAATCAATTGTAAAGTTTCTGTTGTACCTAGTAGAACATACAAGTAGTTTTTGGGCTGTGCGCACTCAACTCGACTCCAACCATGTCACACTGACAACTGGCGGCAATAGTTGTATCAAGAGTTTTAAGTGTAATTTTTTTTAAAACATATTCCAACAGACAAAGGAACAATTGTTAGAATAGAAATGCAGGTATCTAAAATAGTTAAATCTTTATCACATAACCGATTTCAAAGATAATGTCAATGTTTTGTTAATTTTAAAGTCTATGATGACCTGCACTCTTTTGTGAGACTGCAAAACGAGAACAAATCTATACTGTTGCTGTTGATTTTGGTATTTTATTGTGTTTGTGTGGAAAACATTCTACGAGTATAATTCAAAACTTAAAACAAAAACGTAGAAAAAAAAAATGCCAAAAAAACTTTCTTATCAAACTTGTCTTAAAAATTTTGTGGTGGCACAAAAGTTAAGAGTGCATTTTGTGCAAAAGTTTCTGTCGAGGTTCGTTCTGTTGTTTTTTCTCGTTTTTAGCTTTTGTGTCTTTTTTTATTATACTTTTCGGTATGATTTCAAGATTTGTTTGCAAAACTTATAATTGAAAATTTTATGTAACATTTTAGTTTTTGTTCTGGTTGTTGTTGCTTTTTTGTATTATTTGTTGGATGTTTTAGGGGTTTCGCATATTTTCTACATTTCCTATAGAGTAGTCTATATTTTGGACTTTAGAGTAATCTATAGTCTGGAATATAGAGTAGACTATAGTCTGGACTATAGAGTAGTCTATAGTCTGGACTATAGACTAGACTATAGTCTGGACTATAGAGTAGGCTATAGTCTGGACTATAAAGTAGACCAAAGTCTGGGCTATAGAGTAGACTATAGGCTGGACTATAGAGTAGTCTATAGTCTGAACTATAGAGCAGTATTTATTTTGGTTTATAGAGTGGTCTATAGTCTGAACTATAGAGTGGTCTATAGTCTGGACTATAGAGTGGTCTATAGTCTGGACTATAGAGTGGTCTATACACTAGACTTTAGTCTAGACTATTGAGTAGACAATAGTCTAGACTATAGAGTAGACTATAGTCTGGACTATATAGTATACTATAGTCTGGACTATTGAGTGTACTATAGTCTGGACTATAGAGTATACTAAAGTCTGAACTATAAACTATACTACAGGCTGGACTATAGAGTAGACTATAGCCTGGACTATAGAGTAGACTATAGAGTAGACTATAGTCTGGACTATAGAGTAGACTATAGCCTGGACTATAGAGTAGACTATAGAGTAGACTATAGTCTGGACTATAGTTCGGACTATAGTCTGGACTATAGAGTAGACTATAGTCTGGACTATAAAGTATACTATAGTCTGGACTATAGAGTAGTCTATAGTCTTGGCTATAGAGTACACTATAGTCTGGACTATAGAGTAAACTATAGTCTGGACTATAGAGTAGACTTAAGTCTAGACTATAGAGTAGACTTAAGTCTAGACTATAGAGTAGACTATAGAGTAGACTATAGTCTAGACTATAGAGTAGGCTATAGTCTGGACTATAAAGTAGACTATTGTCAGGACTATAGATTAGACTATAGTCTGGACTATAGAGTAGACTATAGTCTGTACTATAGAGTAGGCTATAGTCTGTACTATAGAGTAGGCTATAGTCTGTACTATAGAGTAGGCTATAGTCTGGACTATAGAGTGGGCTATAATCTGGACTATAGAGTAGACTATAGTCTGGACTATAGAGTAGGCTATAGTCTGGACTATAGAGTAGGCTATAGTCTGGACTATAGAGTAGGCTATAGTCTGGACTATAGAGTAGACTATAGTCTGGACTATAGAGTAGACTATAGTCTGGACTATAGAGTAGACTATAGTCTGGACTATAGAGTAGGCTATAGTCTGGACTATAGAGTGGGCTATAATCTGGACTATAGAGTAGACTATAGTCTGAACTATAGAGTAGACTATAGTCTGGACTATAGAGTGGGCTATAGTCTGGACTATAGAGTGGGCTATAATCTGGACTATAGAGTAGACTATAGTCTGGACTATAGAGTAGACTATAGTTTGGGCTATAGAGTAGTCTATAGTCTGGACTATAGACAGACTATAGAACAGACTATGGAGTAGATTATAGTTTGGTTTATAGAAAAGTGTGGTCAACTGAGTAGGCTATAGCCTCGTCAATATGCTTCAGTTTAGTAATGCCTAAAAAAACCATTTGACATTTTGTATAAAAGAATTTCGGGAATTACCAAGGGAAATTCCCGAAATTAAACCCCTATAAATGTTCTAGTGCCGAAAATTTTAACACAAAAAAAGGTAAGTTTTATTTGTTGGACTTTTTCTTTCAGTACTTCATCTTCTGCTCTTTCTGCTGAAGTGGCAGTTGGACTGAAAAACTAAAAGTTATTCACAGAGTTGATGATAAATGTACTTATGAATGCATGTAGTAGGTAGGTATAGTTGAAAGTGTAGTAAAGTAGTAAATTGCAGTTGGTATGAAGGAGGCCTAAAAGTTTTTTGATTTTTGTTTTAGTTCTTTTTTTTCCAGTTTAATGTGTATAAATAAAGTATGAACTATTTTGTAATTTTGTCAGTTGACTAAATTTTTTGTTTTAGTAGAAGCAGCAAGTATTATCACAAAATTTGTAGACGATTCGTAAAAATATCTTTTGTTAAATTGTTTGTTTTTTTTTTTTGTGTATATAACTCCTTTAAGTTGAGGGGATTTTTGCACTCCTTGAAAAGTTTTTCCTTTCCGTTTTTATGCATTTCGATGGTTGTTTTATGCTTCATTTAAAAAAAAAATATATATTTTATTGTTTCGACTTTGTTTTTATCCTTTTTTAAATTTTTTGGGTGAATTCAAAATTATTGTTTATTATTTGTCTGCAAAGTTTATTTTAATCAATATTTAATGAATATTAAAGATTTACTATTTGCATCGAAAAGGAACTGTCTCAAAGAGAACAAGGAAATCAGTGACTTTATTAGGAATCTAAGGGTCTCTATTATTAGGTAAAGATTCACTTGTCATCTCACTACTAGAATTTCCCAAGAAAATTCTATTAAATGTAAGGACTTGAATTGTATGCGTCGGCCTACTTTTATAGCAAAGACATATTTATGTTAATACCGGCAAAAATGCAGAACAAAACAAAAAATCGGAAGATAAAAACAAACAGCTACAGCTTACATACTACATTAAGACATCCTATTGAACCCCCAACGACCAACAACTGCACATGAATCACATACCAAAACATATAGTCATCGAAAGAAAACCAACAACTACAACAAAAAATCACCAAACCATGTGTAACAGAATTCCAAATATTACTCTGGAAACACATACAACAAAATATTAAGACAGAAAAAAAAAATAAACAGACATAGACAGACATTATGACATATGAACAGACCTACAAACCCACCAGTTGTTTGGAACACACACACACACATAAACTCGAAAATGGCCAAAAGAAACAATTCAGCCAAACAGAGTCATACAGACATCTAAACTCTAGCTTGTAGTGGGAATCGGTTAGCGAAGTTTTATTAGCCAACCAACACGAGACAAACATTTTGTGTACTGAAAGAAATTTGATGGAGAATTGACGAAAACAAACTGCACCAAATTCAAGACTATAGACCACATTAGTCTAGTCTATTGTTTAGTCTATAGTGTAGTCTATAGTGTAGTATATAGTGTAGTCTATAGTCTAGTCTATAGTCTAGTCTATAGTCTTATCTATAGTCTAGTCTATAGTCTTATCTATAGTCTAGTCTATTGTCTAGTCTATAGTCTAGTCTATAGTCTTATCTATAGTCTAGTCTATAGTCTTATCTATAGTCTAGTCTATTGTCTAGTCTATAGTCTAGTCTATAGTCTAGTGTATAGTCTAGTCTATAGTCTAGTCTATAGTCTAGTCTATAGTCTAGTCTATAGTCTAGTCTATAGTCTAGTCTATAGTCTAGTCTATAGTCTAGTCTATAGTCTAGTCTATAGTCTAGTCTATAGTCTAGTCTATAGTCTAGTCTATAGTCTAGTCTATAGTCTAGTCTATAGTCCAGTCTATAGTCTAGTCTATAGTCCAGTCTATAGTCTAGTCTATAGTCTAGTCTATAGTCTAGTCTATAGTCTAGTCTATAGTCTAGTCTATAGTCTAGTCTATAGTCTAGTCTATAGTCTAGTCTATAGTCTAGTCTATAGTCTAGTCTATAGTCTAGTCTATAGTCTAGTCTATAGTCTAGTCTATAGTCTAGTCTATAGTCTAGTCTATAGTCTAGTCTATAGTCTAGTCTATAGTCTAGTCTATAGTCTAGTCTATAGTCTAGTCTATAGTCTAGTTTATAGTCTAGTCTATAATCTAGTCTATAGTCTAATCTATAGTCTAGTCTATAGTCTAGTCTATAGTCTAGTCTATAGTCTAGTCTATAGTCTAGTCTATAGTCTAGTCTATAGTCTAGTCTATAGTCTAGTCTATAGTCTAGTCTATAGTCTAGTCTATAGTCTAGTCTATAGTCTAGTCTATAGTCTAGTCTATAGTCTAGTCTATAGTCTAGTCTCTAGTCTAGTCTATAGCCTAGTCTATAGTCTAGTCTATAGTCTAGTCTATAGTCTAGTCTATAGTCTAGTCTATAGTCTAGTCTATAGTCTAGTCTATAGTCTATACTATAGTCTATTCTATAGTCTAGTCTATTCTATAGTCTAGTCTATAGTCTAGTCTATAGTCTAGTCTATAGTCTAGTCTATAGTCTAGTCTATAGTCTAGTCTATAGTCTAGTCTATACTCTAGTCTATAGTCTAGTCTATAGTCTAGTCTAGTCTATAATCTAGTCTATAGTCTAGTCTATAGTCTAGTCTATAGTCTAGTCTATAGTCTAGTCTATAGTCTAGTCTATAGTCTAGCCTATAGTCTAGTCTATAGTCTAGTCTATAGTCTAGTCTATAG